GGTTGCAGCCTGCAGGGCAGCACGAGGTAGCAGCCTGCAGGGCAGCACGAGGTAGCAGCCTGCAGGGCAGCACAAGGTGACAGCACAAGGTGGCAACCTGCAGGGCAGCACGAGGTGGCAGCCTGCAGGGCAGCACACAAGGTGGCAGCCTGCAGGGCAGCACGAGGTGGCAGCCTGCAGGGCAGCACACAAGGTGGCAGCCTGCAGGGCAGCACGAGGTGGCAGCCTGCAGGGCAGCACACAAAGTGGCAGCCTGCAGGGCAGCACGAGGTGGCAGCCTGCAGGGCAGCACACAAGGTGGCAGCACAAGATGGCAGCCTGCAGGGCAGCACAAGGTGGCAGCCTGCAGGGCAGTGCACAAGGTGGCAGCCTGCAGGGCAGCACACAAGGTGGCAGCACACGAGGTGGCAGCCTGCAGGGCAGCACGAGGTGGCAGCCTGCAGGGCAGCACACAAGGTGGCAGCACAAGATGGCAGCCTGCAGGGCAGCACAAGGTGGCAGCCTGCAGGGCAGTGCACAAGGTGGCAGCCTGCAGGGCAGTGCACAAGGTGGCAGCCTGCAGCATTTTGCAGCAGCCGGATATCCGGTTATCCCGATTACCGACTATCCCGAAATTTCAGGGGGGGGGGGGGCTGAGCCCCCCCCAGCCCCCCCCCCCCCCCCCCCTGTAGCTCCGCCCCTGCTTTCAACCCATAAGGTTTATCCCGTATTCATGTACAGGGAAATTGAGTTTTCAGGTCCATACGGCGTACAGCCGTTATCAATACGGTCAAAAACATATTTTGTCTATTTGCTTGTGGTTTTCCCTTTTGATGCGACTTTTTAGGATGAATGTTGAGATTTATAAGGGCACAGAGTGAAAAATAAGGTCTGACTTGGTATCGATAAGGTCGGCACTGATAAGGGGTTGACAGGTTTGCATTTGCGAATATTCACAATCCTGGTCCAAATATCATAGCGGGTGAAATATATTCCTTTTGTAATTTTTTTCTTCTTGAGGAACACTGCCACAGTGTGTTGATTTTCCTTCATCAAGTTTTCCTTAGCGAATTCTTACATTTCTGAACCCGGTCCGACTTCAATGATTGCCTCAGGGCATCCACTCCAGGTGGGTGTGTGGGCACTTCCCGCGAGGATTGGACCATCCCGAAGTAAAAAAAAATTAACAAAAAATATAAGGCCCTACGTTAATAGTGAAAGGAAACATTCAATGTATTTTCTCTGGTAAATATAAATCCGCCACTTGGTATCCTTGGGATGTCGTCCGGCAGTTTCCGTTCCAACGATAATTGTGTTAAGACATTTTACGAGCATTGCCTCGTGTTTATCTTCGCGGCCCTCTCTGCGAAGCTCTTCCGCGGCGACTTTGCATGCGGAGAGACTTGATAATATTGCGCTCGTCTCCTTCCTAATTCCCCGAAGTTAAATCGTCTTCGTCCGTGTCACCGCTTCGTGTCCCGTAAGCTCCCGTGTCGGCGACTCCGTGTCGCCTGCAGGGGGCGATGACGCCACGGCCGAAGCCATTTGAGGAGCGCCGCTGGCGGTGGCGACGGGAGAAAATGAACCTGCGTGGTGTGGAGCGTGCTTGTTCAGTGGTGTTGCGGGAGGGTTTATGGTGTGGTGGGTGGGTAAGGCGGTTGTCCAGCGAGTGGGATGGGATGTGGAGTGTGGTTGTTGAGGGGTGTGTGGTGCGGTGAGTTGGGTGGGTAAGGTGGTTGTCTAGTGAGTGGGATGTGGTGTGTAGTTGTTAAAGGGTGTGCTAGAGTGTGTGGTGAGTTGGGTAAGGTGGTTGTCTAGTGAGTGGGATGTGGAGTGTAGTTGTTAAAGGGTGTGTTAGAGTGTGTGGTGAGTTGGGTAAGGTGGTTGTCTAGTGAGTGGGATGTGGAGTGTAGTTGTTAAGTGGTGTGAGAGGATGTGTGGTGAGTGGGTAAGGTGGTTGTCTAGTGAGTGGGATGTGGAGTGTAGTTGTTAAAGGGTGTGTTAGGGTGTGTAGTGAGTGGGTAAGGTGGTTGTCTAGTGAGTGGGATGTGGAGTGGAGCGTGGTTGTTAAGTGGTGTGCTCGGATCTGTGGTGTGGTGAGTGGGTAAGGTGATTGTCTCGTGAGTGGGGTGGAACGTGGAGTGTAGCCGTTGCTAAGGAGTGTGGGAGGGTGTGTGGTGAGTGGATTGGTGGTTGTGTCGTGAGCGATGTGTGCAGGGTGGTGTTGATGTGAAATGTGGAGTGTGCTTGTCAAGGGGTACATTACGGTGTGTGTGTGTTCAGTGGGGTGGTTAAGGAGTGTCAGGTGGTACGTAGTATGGTGGCTGTGTGGAGTGCGGTGGTGTAGCGGTTAACGTGCTGCTCTACAAACCCGGCGACCCGGGTTCGATTCCCGCTATCGGCCAACACGAGTGACGAATCCTGGGCCTCCCCTAGGTTGACTTAGTCTCTCATGAGTACCTGGTGTGGTGTGTAACCACTAGGACTAGGGAGACAAAGGCGGACGGGCGTGGTGCTGGCCACCCACCCCCTCGTGTGCCGTACCGGCCTTCACAGGTGCTCACTAACAGCACTTGCCCCAACAGTCTGTTGAGGCTATACGGGGGGTATGAAGCCTTTGTGTGTGGTGATGCGGGGTGTGCTGGTTTTTGTTGTTGCTATTGTATTGTTTGCAATGTCACCTGGAACATCCCTCGAGATGAAAACGTCTCGTTTTCCAGAAATGTCCGTGATGTCGACTGGCACACACGCGTAGCAAACAGGTGAAATAACACGTGCACACATCTTGATTCTATAACAATCTCCAGTGCGTGGGTGCATGGCGAGGGAGCGGTGGAGGGTGGAGATGTGTGGCGAGGACGTTGTCGAAACGTTCAACTGGAACCCATCGAATATGAGAATCCGCCTAGGAGGAGGCAGGATGTGAGAGGAGACGGTGAGAGGTTGTGTTCATAGGAGTCAACGGCGATGAAGATAAATAGCCTGGGGAAGGAGGGTCGACATGTTAAACTGGAGATACCTTTGGCAGGAGAGATGTTTTGAGAATCGGCAGTGAGGGTCAGGGATGGAACAGCATGGGGCTTTCCTGGGGGGAGGATGACAGACCAAGTGGCAAGCGATGCATGCCTACCTAGTGACGGAAGACGCTCCAGGAAGACGGAGTGGCCTGGAGTATTCTAGATGTAAAACTCGCTTATTTAGGACTGCTTCTTGTTGTGTTTAGTTTGTTGATGTCCCCCGCACCTTCGATTAGCACGGTTGGCTAGGTATGATGCGAAAGAAGTCTCAACGTACCGTACATACATCAAAACGAAATGTTACTGGCGACGTTGATGAAACTGGGTAATTTCTGTAGGGGGGGGGCACGGTGGGTAAGCGGGTGGGCAGGTGATGGTGCGGTGAATCTGGGATGAAACAAGACTTGTTTTTGTTCGGTGGGAGATGATCACGGCAGTGGTGGTGGTGATGTGTATGGTGACAGGCTGAGGAATGTCGGGGGTTGGTGGTGGGACAGACACGGACGCATGCAATATAATGAGCAGCAGGCACAGACGCAGCAGAATGCCATTCCTGGTTTTCTTGACCTTTTCATGAATAGATAATAAATAGGACCGCGAGCCGTTCACGCTTTACGACCGACGGGAGTTGGTGGAAGGAAGCCGTGCTCCTAGCGTCCTGGGGATGGAGGCAGCTGACAGCGCCGAAGGGGATTTCGAGTTTCCAGCACAGCTTGCTAGTGGTGCCGTATGCATGTACTGTATGTTGAACTTCTTTCGCACCCTACGTCGCCAACCCGTGCAGATCGTAGGTGCGGAGGGAGGACAACAAATGGGATGCCACGGTGGCGAGATGTTAACTACCTCGCCTGGTATGCAGGAGGTCGTGGATTCGATCCTGGCGCCCGCTGTATATTTGGAGTTTGCGTGCTCTCCCAATGTTTCCCGGGGCCTTCCGGTTATCCCGTCACATTTAGACACATGCGTTTAAGAGTAATTGGCTGCTATAAACGTCCACATAAGCCACTTCGTGGCGAGTTCGCTTCTCAAAAAGAGCTATATACAGCAGTTCATTGGGCCTTATCTGGTAAAATAAAATAAATGTTAAAAAAACACAAAAAGCAGTTTTAAAGAAATGAGTTTTCCAGTCTCATATGGAGAGCTCACTCGAGCTGACTGACAACCTTTGATGCGAGCCTTCCAAATTTGGTCGTGGGGTTCAAGGCCAGATTTATGTCTCCTAAGTGATTTTTTTTTGCTCACAGCCGTCGGTACCGAAGATGGTTTGAAGGGGGGGCCTGAGGAGGTTCTAGACGAGGTACAAAGTCTTGAAAGGGTGAGATCATTCGCAGAAGTAGATGAGGTGTAATTGTAATGTTTATCTCCGCCAAATTTCCCTTATCTCCATTCCCCTCAGCCCCCTATTTATCGCTCTCCATTTCATCTTTCTCGTTATCTTCCCACGTAGATCCCTCCACTCATCTCCCTCATTTCCATAACCGTCATCTCCTTCACTGTCTCTCCACTTTCCCCGCACCTCTTATGAGCACGGTTGAGTACGTAGGGTGCAAAAGAAGTTTAACATACATACACATCTCATCTCCCTCCAAGTCTACCAGCCCTCATCCATCTCCCTCCACATGTCTGTACTCACCTTTTCACCCCTCATCTCAAATGTATACACGCGTGTGTATACCTACACACATGTCTTCCGCCTCTCTGTTATCTAACACTCCCTCCCCTACCCCAAGTCTATCTCCCCCTCCCTACCCCGCCCTGAATAATCTTCCACATTATCTCCCACCTCCCCATGCATCTCTTATCCCTCCAACCCTCAACCCCCCCTCTCCCCTCCTAACAGTCGTGAATCTCTTACCCCCCCCTTCCATCCCCTTTCCTCCGCCTCCCCTCTGTAGATCGCACCTCCTCCTTCATGAATCTCCCTCTCCTCCACCCACCCCACCGGTCCTCTGCCTCCCCCATATCAGCAGCAGCAGCAGCTTCATCTCATCCTCCCCCTGTATCACTCACCTCGCTCTCCATCCCCCGGATCCTCCCCATCGCCTCCCTCCCTTCCCCCGTCTCTACGAGCAGCAGAAGCACCACAATCCTCCTGCTCCCCTCTCCATCACCCCTCCCCCTTGCTTCGCCAACCTCCTCCGTCTTACCCCCCTCCTCCTCCTCCTCCTCCTCCAATCTCTCATCCCTCATCTCCCACTCCCCTCCTTCCTCACAGCAGCCGCCGCAGCGCCTCAGTATCTCCCACCGCCTCTCTCTATCTCCAATCTCCTCTTGATCTCCCACCTCTTCCTCCCCTCTCTCAATCTCCCTTTCTCCCTCCTTGCATCTCCCCACCCTCTTCGTCACACACACCCCCTCCCCCTCCCTTCCTCCATCCCTCCCGGCCATCAGCAGCCGCTACGGCTCTGCCTCCTATCTCCCTCCTCATCCTTTCCTGCGTCTCCCACCTCCTCTCGATCTCCCATCTCCCCCCACCACCACCACCACCCCCCCCTTGCATCTCCCACCCCACCCACACTCGGCCCCCTCCCCCGTCTCCCTCCCTCCTCCCCGCAGCAGCGGCTCCGCGCCCGAAACAAAGGCGACATCGGCGACTCGCGGCGCGGCCGCGCCCCATCAGGGATGCCGCCGCCGCTGCTGCTGCCATCACCACCATCACAAACATCCTCCACATCCCCCGTCACCACCACCACCGCTATCACCAGCAAGAGCATCACCACCACCACCACCGCCATCATCATCACCATCACCCCATCCTCCTCCAGCCCCCTCCCGCGCCATTGAGAACCGCGGCTCGGCGCCATGGAACCTGGAGGTGGTGCAGGAGGAGGAGGTGGTGGAGGAGGAGGTGCGGCGACCCAGGGCGAGAGGAGAAGAGGTCAACCCCGGGCGCCATCCCCGGCGAGACCCCGCGAGGCGCCCGGCTCCAGGCAGCCGAACCAGAAGCCGTCCCTGCCCCCTAAGCCATCGCTACGCCTGGCCGGCTCGGGAGAGAATTCGTCCCGCCGAGCTGCACGGGCTTCCCCGGGACTGGTCATTCTCTCCAAGCCTAGGACGGCGGCGGCGGTGGGATCGCGAGGGGCTCCGGGGGTCGGGGTGCAGTCAGGCGTGGCCGCGAGGGGGTCCGGTGCACCCCCTCGCATCCCCTCGCACACGGACAGCAGCAATTCGGATCTGTCCGACTGCGCGTCTGAGCCCCTGTCGGGCCCCGAGGAGGAGGACGACGAGGACGACGCGGGGGGCAACTCCAGCGATGACGGCGGCGGCGGGATGGGACCCCCGAGAGGGGGCGGCCACGTGCGGGGACCCCTGCCCGCCCTGCCCGTCGGGGGGCGCAAGGTCCCCGTGAGCACGGCGGGGTGCGTTGCCCGGGGGGCCGCGCGAGGAGAGAGCCCTCAGGGCCTCGTGTCCGTGGAGACGATGGAGCGGCAGGACCTGATGAGGGAGGCGGAGGAGCTGCGCTCAGAGAACGCCTACCTCAAGGTGTGCGGGGCGCGGGGCAGCCAAACCAGATGACGGGCAGCCAAACCAGATGACGGACAGCCAAACCAGATGACGGGCAGCCGAACCAGATGACGGGCAGCCAAACCAGATGACGGGCAGCCTAACGAGATGACGGGCAGCCAAACCAGATGACGGGCAGCCTAACCAGATGACGGGCAACCAAACCAGATGACGGGCAGCCAAACCAGATGACGGGCAACCAAACGAGATGACGGGCAGCCAAACCAGATGATGGGCAAACAGATGGTTGACCGGAGGGGACGCCGCGGTGGCTAGATGTTATCTCCTCTCTCCCGGTATGCAAGGAGGTCGTGGGTTCGATCCCGACCCTGACGCCTGCTGCTGTGTATTTGGAGTTTGCGTGTCTCTCTCTCTCCACTGTGGTCGCGTGGATTTTCTCCGGGTCCTCTGGGGTTTCCCTCCACATATTAGAATGAACATCATTGAGCTATCATTTGTGGCCAGGTCGCTTCTGAAAAAGAGTGATATAGCTGAGTGGGCCTTACCTGGTAAAATAAAATGAAATGCTTCGTTTAATAGTTTATAGGATAGACGAGCGAGATAACTGCTACAAGAACCTATTTGTAACCTATAGACGTCGACCAGATGTATAGTCATCTCGCCGACCAAATGTAGAACCATATAACGGACCAGATATGAGATCGGATCGATATGTGCAATCGTATATACAATATCGTACAGATAAGCAAATATACACGGGCGACCGCAGAGACGAACAGATAAGCAGATGAATGACCGGATATGTGATCCTCGAGAGAGATGACCATGTGTATGATCAGATAGATAAGCATATATAATGATCTATAGATAACGAGATGTACACGTGGGCGATTGGATGGGCATTATAGAAGATGACCAGAGAGTAATTGGATGACCGACCGGACATACGAGCAGATAAATGATTTGGCGATGCTACTGCTGCTGCGTTGACAGTAATGCAGTTCACAAGCACGTACTGTATAATAAAAGCGAAACCTCAACACATTCGTCAATAACACCGGGGGGCGGGGGGGGCTTAAAAGGATATATTCTGTAATAGATGACGTTTCGGGCAATGACCCTTCACCGCACATAGCCCACAGAGGTAGCGATCAATAACCAGATGGAAGATTTGCTATAGGAGCCTATATATGCCCAGATGGACGAGGCAATAATGTGGACAATTAAACAGATAGGTGGTTGACGAGATGGACGAATGGTTATACGACCAGATGGGCAACCGTATAGATTTCCCCAGCCATACAAAGACAACGTTTCCCCGTATAGCCTTTACCAGACTGTTGGTGGCAAGTGCTGTTTGCGAGCACCTATGAAGGCCGGCACACCACACGGATAAATCCCCCCCCCACACACACACAAAGCCCTACAGCTAGACGCATATCCGTGCGCGCACAGCCACGTCAACGGATATTATCACTGCAGCCCGCGGGCCGTGCAGACAGACAGCCGAGCGAGCAGCCCATTAGCATAATAGTGCAACCCAGCATATGCAGTGCATGCCAAAATAAAACACTCTCTCTTCTTTGAGTGACTGCGGCTATGAACACACCGAACCATCGACCGCAGAACTTCACGTTGCCACAAATATGAATGAATTAATGCCGTGGGTGAGCTCAGTGGTTGGGTGAGTTGAGTAATCGGGTGGGTGGATGAGTGGGTGGATGGGTTGAGTGAGTGTGTGGATGACTGACGGAATGGGTGGGTGAGCGTTATCTGCAATTCGTCAATTCTCAGACAAAGCAACTGATTGGGCTACATCACTTTGAATCTCTCATAGCTTGCTTTTCATTGGTTGTACGTAATCATCATCATCATCACAACCAACTATGCAGCAAGATTCTAGATTTGAAGCTTTCGTGACTGCAAGGATTCATACTCTTTGGTTCTATTCGGTAAAGTCACGTAGGTAAAACAAATTAAAATAAATTGAAATAAAATAAAATAAACAATTAAAACACGACGTTTCGGAGGCAAAGCAAGCTTCCGTCTTCAGGTGGGACCACTTGGTGCAGCGATTTTGCTGTGACTGGTCCCACCTGAAGACGGACGCTTGCTTTGCCTCCGAAACGTCGTGTTTTAATTGTTCCTTTTATTTTATTTCAATTTATTTTAATTTGTTTTACCTACGTGACTTTACCGAATATAACCAAAGGGTAAGAGTATGGAGCAAGAGTCCATATGCACACACTGATAGCCACGCACACAGGCTTAGAGACATTTTTTTTGTAATATTCCTGGGAAAGCCTCGAGCCAATTTTTTTTCAGAGGAAGGTCCTGCCTATTTTTCGCAATGGGGGTCAATGGTGCTGCTGTGTGAAACCCCAATTCGAGTAAATTGTAGGGTAATTTTTCAACACTCTGTATGTCTGGCCAAAACCAGTCACGTATGTTTTTTTTGTGTGTGTTTAACTATGGGAGAAAATCAATGAACCCATAGGAGAACCCAGAGGAAAACCCATGCAGAACACGGTGGGGGGGGGGGGGGGGGACATACAAACTAGACAGAAATGAAGGTGCCACGGTGGCGAGATGATAACTACCTCGTCCGGTATACAGGAGGTTGTGGGTTTGATCTCAACCCTGACGCCTGTATTTTTGGAGTTTGCGTGTTCTCACCGTGGCCGCGTGGATTTTTCTTTGGGTCCTCCGGTTTTTTCCCCCTCCACATTTAGAATGCACATCACGCGGCTTCTCGAGTATGTGGCTGCTATACATTTCTACGTGATAAGCCCCCCTTTCGTTGAGCCATAATTTGTGGCCAGGTCGCTTCTGAAACGGAGTTATACAGCTCGGTGGGACTTGCCCCGTAAAATAAATTTTAAAAATTACAAGTTTTGCCCGAGTCGGGAATGGAACCCAGGGCCTTCTTGCTGTGAGGCATAAGCGTTATCACTGCGCTGCCGCCACCAATTCATGAAGTCCATTAACAACAAAAAAGAGCTGACCACACAAACACAGCGTTGCAGACATACAGCAAGTCAACAATGCATATCGCCAGAGTCAAATAGCCGGACAGATACACAGCCCAACACAGAAACCTGTAATGAATACGACTCGCAGCCATACAGACACACGCAGCTTTACAGACAATTAACAAAAGACAACCACGCGCAGCGTTGTAGACATTTATTCAATTAACAATCCTGATAGCCACACAGACAGGGCCTCACAGATAGGACGCGCATGCATTCAGTGAACCATGCAGTTAGCCACGCACATAAAAGACTAATATCCCCTGTATAGCCTGAACGGATTTTTGAGGCAAGGGCTGTGAGCGAGCATGGGGGGTTGGTGACCAGCAACACGCTCGGTCGCCTTTGTATCCGTAGTGGTGACGTTTACACATCGCACCAGACTGAGTCGACCTGGGGGAAACCCATCACCGGTTCAGATAATCGTCACTGGTGTTGGCCGTGAGTAGGAATCGAACATGGGCCGCTGGGTTAGTAGTGCAGCGCGCTAACCACTACACTACCGCTCCCCACTACAGCTTTACAGACACAAAGCCAATGAATGTAGACAAGACACTCGGGTAGACGGATAGCTACAACAGACCGAATGATAGCCACACACGCTCACAAGCGGGATTACAGACAGACACGCAGACCTTCACCAAGCGAAATAGCTGCTCAAATTAAACGATACAAATCGCGAGGAGCACATAGCTTCACAGCGAGACAGCCATGAATTGAATTAACCTTGAGTATAACCACGTAGACATAACAAGACACGTACAGACGCACAGGCAGATTGACGTGCAGAGAGTTAACAATGAGGTACCGCTCGCAATAAAAAAAAAACTGGCTGATACCAGGCGCATGTCTCCAGTCATTCATGTGTCTGGCATCTTGGTAGACGATTGTCTGGCTTTTAAGACCGGTCATTACAGCCTCAATCCCTCCTAATCCACATCTCCACCGCTATTCTCACCCTTCCTCTAACCTCACCCTCCATTCACTCCCCGAATCCTTTTTCCATAATTCTCCCCTCACCCACAGACACCTACTCGCTCTCCCCTCACCCTCTCCTCAACCCATGTACCGCTTTCCCTCCATGGATTGCCCTTCGCCTATTCACTTATCCATCTTATCACTCGCCTGCTCACCCATCACTTCCTCAACCTCCCCACATCCTCCCATCGCCCCGCTCAACTTCCCCAATTTCAAGTGGGCAGCTGAAACCTGAATTAGAACCCTGAATCTCAGCAGCGTCGGCTCTGACCTCTGAGCCGCCCAGGTTACCTTTTCCCCAAATTCTCGACTCACCTTCCTAACCACACTCCCCCCCCACCTCTCCAGCTATCAAGTGCCCTGGTTTTCCTGTGGTTTCAGAAAGTGTCGGTGCCCCCCCCCCTTCCTCGTGTGAAAACTGAGATTTCGTCTCCGGCTTTAACATTTTTGGCCTCGTGCTCTGGCAAAGGGTGAGGCTACCTGAGAAGGTGGGCGGGGCTGACAGCGGAGTGGGCGGGGCCTGTGAGCGGTGGACGGCTAGTGGTTAGGTGGGCGTGGTTATGAAAAAGTGGGTTGGGCTTAGGGGAGGGAGTGGGGCTGCCAGCCTTACCACGTGTCTCGGTTGAGCCTCCCAGCATTGCAGCAGCTTCGGAGAGTGCATGCGACCAAATGACTCCGAGTGCTCCCGTCGCCTCCTCCCCCCTGCGCTGTGCGGCAGGACGAGATGGAGGAGATGAAGGCGGAGATGGAGGAGATGCGCGACTCGTACCTGGAGGAGGACGTGCAGGCCCTGCAGGAGCTGCGGCGCGAACTCGACCGCACCAACAAGAGCGTGCGCATCCTGCAGTACCGCCTGCGCAAGGCCGAGCGCAAGGGCATGAAGGCGGCGCAGGGCGGCCAGCTGGACGGCGAGCTGGTGCGGGCCATGGAGCAGGACCTCAAGGTGGGCATGGCGTGAACCGGCGGGAGGCTGACGACGGCGCCGGTGGCGGCCGCTGGCGGTACACCCGGTGCCCGGAGCGTGCGATAGAAACGGAACCTCGAGGGACTCGCGCGACGCTGAACCGACCGATGAGATTACTTGACCCGTCGATCGACTTGCCAATGAAACGACGCAGCGGTTAACCCTCCGTGAGTCGATACTCTCGCGTGCCTCATGTATGGACTGCGAGCAGAATCGTTACAATAGACACCTCGATTCAGGTTCCGCAAGACCAAATGTGGGCAGAGACATGCACCTACAGGAAACACTACACCTACATTCTTTCATATATGGACAGATCGATTATTTTGTCGGGTGTCCGATATTATTTTATTGCAGTGCCCCACGTTTATGCAGACGCCAACAACTTCAATGACTCCAACCGTCGTCCTGATGTTGACCCGACCCGAACTGGGGACACTCGGCACATTCGCCAATAACACTGCGGACGTGGTGGGCCACACACCTCCGCACGTACCGTGCCGGCCTTCTAAGGTGCTCGCTAATGGCGCTTGCCCCAACAGTCCATTAAGACCATATGGAGGGGACCTTTGAGTGCGTTCTGTGCATCGGCGGGGAGCGGAACTGTAGCGGTTAGAGCACCGCGCTACGAACCAGTCCTGAGACTCCCCCTAGGTCAGCTCAGCCTCAAATTGCTACCTGGTGCTGTGCGTAAACATCCCCACTCGGGGAGACGAAGCCGGTCGGTCGTGGTGCTGGCCACCCACCCCTCCCCCTCCCCGTGTACCGCGCCGGCCTCGATGGGTGCCACTCGCTAACAGCACTTGCCCCAACAGCCCGTTAAGGTCATACGGGGGCGATCTTTGTCTTTGTAGGTGGCCAAGGACGTGTCCGTGCGTCTGCACCGCGAGCTGGAGAGTGTGGAGGAGCGTCGCGCGCGCCTGGACGAGGAGAACGACGCGCTGCGCGAGCGCCTCGTCGAGTTGGACACGGCCAGGCAGGCGCTCGCTAACGAGGTGGAGCGCACTCGCGAGGTCAGGGGGGGGCGGGGCGGGGGGTCACCGTTATGGGTCGTGGTTAGGGGTGAGGGAAAGGGGGGTCGACACGGAGAGACGCGCACTCGCTAATGAGGTGGGCCGTGCCTGTGAAGTCGGGGGAACTGCCACATACACATTGAATTAGTGGTTAGGGTCAAAGTTAATGGTCAGAGTTGGGGGTTGGAGTTTAGGCATAAAGGAAAGGGGTGCAGATAGGAGTACGGTCATGGATAGGGCTAGGGGGAACGGCAGGGATAGGCGTGAGGGATAGGGGTTGCATTATGGGCCGTGGTAAGGGGATAGGGGTACGGGATAGTGGTTAGGGATAAATGGCAGATGTGGGAAACCTACGGTTCCGGGAAGTGACCTCCTCTAAACTAAACTGCTTACTATATATTTTTTTTTACCAGGTAAGGCCCACTGAGATATATAGCTCTTTTTGCAGAAGCGACCTTGCCACAAATGATTGCTCAACGGAATCGGTTTACCACGTGGACAATTATAGCAATCCAAATACTCGATATGCGTGGTGATGTTGATTCTAAACGCGGAGGGGAAAACCGGAGGACCCGGAGGAAAATCCACGCCACCCCGAGGAGAGAGAGAGAGAGATAGGCACGCACACTCCAAATATGCAGCAGGCGTCAGGGTCGAACCGACGACCTCCTGCATACCAGACGAGGTAGTTGACATCGCGAGCATCTCGGCCGCACGGTTCTCGCTCTCGCGCCGCCACCACCGCCGCCGCCGTCGTCGCTTCTGCCACCGCCAAGGGGCTCCTTGCAGGAAGTGGCCGAGGTGCACCGTACACGGTGTGGAAGTTGTGGACGTTGTAGTTGTGGACGTTGTGGACGTTGTAGTTGTGGATGTTGTGGATGTTGTGATCGTTGTGGACGTTGTAATCGTTGTGGACGTTGTAGTTGTGGATGTTGTGATCATTGTCGTTGTGGATGTTGTGGACGTTGTAGTTGTGGATGTTGTGATCATTGTCGTTGTGGACATTGTCGTTGTGGATGTTGTGGTCGTTGTGGTCGTTGTGGACGTTATGGATGTTGTTAACGTTGTGGATGTTGTTAACGTTGTTAACGATGTGGACGTTGTGATTGTTGTGGATGTTGTGATCGTTGTGAACGTTGTTAACGTTTGTGGATGTTGTTAACGTTGTGGACGTTGTGGATGTTGTTAACGTTGTGGATGTTGTGGTCGTTGTGGACGTTGTGGATGTTGTTAACGTTGTGGATGTTGTTAACGTTGTGGATGTTGTTAACGTTGTGGATGTTGTTAACGTTGTGGATGTTGTTAACGTTGTGGACGTTGTGGATGTTGTTAACGTTGTGGATGTTGTGATCGTTGTTAGCGTTGTGGATGTTGTTAACGTTGTGGACTTTGTGGACGTTGTGATTGTTGTTAACGTTGTTAACGTTGTGGATGTTGTTAACGTTGTGGACGTTGTGGACGTTGTGATTGTTGTTAACGTTGTTAACGTTGTGGATGTTGTTAACGTTGTGGACGTTGTGGACGTTGTGATTGTTGTTAACGTTGTTAACGTTGTGGACGTTGTTAACGTTGTGGATGTTGTGGACGTTGTGGATGTTGTGAACGTTGTGGATGTTGTTAACGTTGTGGATGTTGTTAACGTTGTTAACGTGGTTAACGTTGTGGATGTTGTTAACGTTGTGGACGTTGTGGATGTTGTCGTTTTGGCCACCCACTGTTTTCGTCACGAATCCTGTTTGGCCCCTCAGAGTGTCAGGAACAGATTTTGCTCCCCTGGCGTAGGGCAGAGGCGGCGACAGCGTCAAGAACGACTGAATGAATTGTAATCGATTTACAGCCCGTTGTCAATCCACTGCTGGATGAATGCCTCCCCTCCCCCCATACGATTATTGATTAAGGTTGTTTTTACCATACTTAAGTATGCAGGTTCGTGCGGGGTTGGTGAATGGGTGGGTGTACCCAGGACAGATTCAAATATCGCGCACCACTAATGCCACCTAGCTATAGCCGTTTTTGTAGTGTCGTGTGTAAGGGGCCGTCCATAAATGACGTCACGCGCCTAGGGGGGGGGGGGGTGGGGTCAGAGATTTGTGACGATGTGTGACGAGGGGGGGGGGGGTTTGAGAAATGTGACGTCACATCAAAATGCGCAACTTTAAATAAATATAAACAACACGTTCTACTTAATTAAATAGACTTTGTAATAAATGTTTTTTTTCCTACAACATCAGAGTGCAGCGCCACATTAAATACGCACTACAATGACAATAGTTTAAAGCGGTTTGAAGCATGTTTTATATATTTTGTGGGGGGGGGGCAGAGCTTTGTGACGTCATATTTGAGGGGGGGTCTGACTTTTTGTGACGTCGTGTCATTTATGGGCAGCCCTTAAAGCACTGCCACTGCTCCCCACATACTCTACATACACACATTCCCTACACACACACACTCTACACACACACATTCCCTACACACACACATTCCCTACACACACACATTCCCTACACACACACATTCCCTACACACACACACTCTACACACACACATTCCCTACACACACACACACTCTACACACACACATTCCCTACACACACACACTCTACACACACACATTCCCTACACACACACACTCTACACACACACATTCCCTACACACACACACTCTACACACACCTTCCCTGCACACACTTCCGAAAACACGTGCCCCCCCCCCACGCACACACACGTGCCCCCTACACACACTCCCTACGCACACTCCCTACGCGCACTCCCTACGCGCACGAGTGTGTGGAGTGGAGATGTGGGTGGCGTGAGTGACTTCACAATTTCAAATCGGACAATCAAAACCAGGCTTCGCCACCGTGCCCCACCACAATCATCATCATCACCACCACCATCATCACCACCACCATCATCACCACCATCATCATCACCACCATCATCACCACCACCACCATCATCACCACCATCACCACCACCATCATCGCCACCATCACCATCGCCACCACCATCATCGCCACCATCACCACCATCATCACCACCACCACCACCATCGCCACCATCACCATCGCCACCACCATCATCGCCACCACCACCACCATCACCACCACCACCATCACCACCACCACGGACTCCCCGCTATGGCCACTCGCAGGGCTTCAGAGTCGTGCGTGCCTCAGCGTGGGGTCCGCTATTTGTGTCAAAGTGTGCGGTTTATGATAGTATCGTGTCGGTGTGTGTGTGTGTGGTGTCAGTGTAGAGTGTGGTGTGTGATAGTGTGGTGTCAGTGTAGAGCGTGGTGTGTGTGTGTGTGTCGATGTGTGTGTCGGTGTGTGTGTCAGAGTAGGATGTGTGGAGTGTGGTGTCGATGAGACTTATGTTTCAGAGTGTGTGTGGTGTGTGTGTCTGTCAGTGGTGTTGCAGTGTGTGGCAGTGTGGGCTGAGATAGTGTTGTTTGTGTGTGTCAGTGAGCTGTATGACAAGAGTGATCTTCGTGCGAGTGCGCGGTGCGATGGAGTGTTTGAGGGTGTGTTTGAAAGGATGGTGTGTGTGTGTGAGAGGCTGGTGTTTGACAGTTATGGGAGTGCGAGGGAATGAGTGACAGTGAGCAATGTATTACGTGTATCAATGTACGGTGCACTGTGTGACAGAAGGGAGCGTTTGCCATGTGGCTGTGTTTGCATTGGTGTGCGTGTGTGTTTGTGAGTCTCTGTGGTGTGTTTGTGAGTCTCTGTGGTGTGCGTGTGTGTTTGTGAGTCTTTGTGGTGTGTGTTTGTGAGTCTCTCTGGTGTGCGTGTGTGTTTGTGAGTCTCTGTGGTGTGCGTGTGTGTTTGTGAGTCTCTGTGGTGTGCGTGTGTGTTCGTGAGTCTTTGTGGTGTGTGTTTGTGAGTCTGTGGTGTGCGTGTGTGTTTGTGAGTCTCTGTGGTGTGTGTTTGTGAGTCTTTGTGGTGTGTGTTTGTGTGTCTCTGTGGTGTGCGTGTGTGTTTGTGAGTCTGTGGTGTGCGTGTGTGTTTGTGAGTCTCTGTGGTGTGTGTTTGTGAGTCTGTGGTGTGCGTGTGTGTTTGTGAGTCTCTGTGGTGTGTGTTTGTGAGTGTGGTGTGCATGTGTGTTTGTGAGTCTATGTGGTGTGTATTTGTGAGTCTCTGTGGTGTATGTGTGTGTTCGTGAGTCTTTGTGGTGTGTGTTTGTGAGTCTCTGTGGTGTGCGTGTGTGTTTGTGAGTCTCTGTGATGTGCGTGTGTGTTTGTGAGTCTGTGTGGTGTGTGTTTGTGTTTGTGAGTCTAGTGTGCGTGTGTGTTTGTGAGTCTGTGGTGTGTGTTTGTGAGTGTTTGTGGTGTGCGTGTGTGTTTGTGAGTCTCTGTGGTGTGCGTGTGTGTTTGTGAGTCTGTAGTGTGTGTTTGTGAGTCTCTGTGTTGTGCGTGTTTGAGTCTCTGTGGTGTGTGTGTGTGTTTGGGAGTCTTTGTGGTGTGCGTGTGTGTTTGTGTGTCTCTGTGGTGTGCGTGTGTGTTTGTGTGTCTCTGTGGTGTGTGTTTGTGAGTCTCTGTGGTGTGCGTGTGTGTTTGTGAGTCTGTGGTGTGCGTGTGTGTTTGTGAGTCTCTGTGGTGTGCGTGTGTGTTTGTGAGTCTGTGGTGTGCGTGTGTGTTTGTGAGTCTCTGTGGTGTGCGTGCGTGTGTGTGAGTCTGTGGTGTGTGTTTGTGAGTCTGTGGTGTGTGTGTGTGTTTGTGAGTCTGTGGTGTGCGTGTGTGATTGTGAGTCTGTGGTGTGCGTGTGTGTTTGTGAGTCTGTGGTGTGCGTGTGTGTTTGTGAGTCTCTGTGGTGTGCGTGCGTGTGTGTGAGTCTGTGGTGTGTGTTTGTGAGTCTGTGGTGTGCGTGTGTGTTTGTGAGTCTGTGGTGTGTGTTTGTGAGTCTGTGGTGTGCGTGTGTGTTTGTGAGTATGTAGTGTGCGTGTGTGTTTGTGTGTCTCTGTGGTGTGCGTGTGTGTTTGTGAGTCTGTGGTGTGTG